TACATCAGCTCAGGCCTTGAGGATTGGCAGAGAGAGGGGTGACCTCTCAGGGCAGTTGTAAATCACCTCAGATATGCAGAAGAGCTGAGATGACTTAACATCTGGACCAAAGACGGTCTCCTTGAAGATGGTTTTGGGGTGGGGAGTTGGCCAAGACACCCAAGGGGGACACAAGGTAGAAGACTTAGCTCAAGGTTGGCCACTGCTACAGGCCACACTGAGTGTTGGGGCTGCAGGGTCCCTGTCGGGGTTTGGGTGTCAGCCAGATGAGACAGCTGTAGCCACCTGCTGGGTGGGCGGGACTATGCGGGAACAGTGATACAGCCTGGAGATTGCAGGGTCAAGCTTACACGGCTACAGATGGAGACTGCACTGAGCAGCACAGACAGCTGTAGGCAAGGTGGAGGCACTGGAGAGACAGCCCTCTTCCGAGGTCATAGGGGTCTGAGAGTGCAAAAAGAAATTCTTGGAGTTGAGGTTTGGGGTTACAGGGCCACAGGCCACTCCGGGTGCCACAGATACATAGAATAACCTTGATCGTTGGGAGCTGAGGTGGACCGTGGAGACACAAGTGGTAATTAAACACATGGCTGAGGGCACAGGTGGCCGGCAGACCTCAGAGAAGGTCATGACCACGACTGGAAGTGAGGTTTCCCCTGGTGTGGTATAGTCCCTGGGCTAGACAGCTTACAGGACTGGGAGGGAAACTTGTTGGAAGAGGACAGGAACAAGAGGCCCCCAATTGGCTTTTTTTATGTGTATGTGTTTTCCCGAGTGCAATTATGCGCTCCACAAGTATGCAGGTGTCCCTGGAGACTGGGAGAGAGTATAAGATCCTCAGGAACTGGAGTTACAGGCAGTTAAGAGCCCCCTTGTGGCCGGGCATTGGTGGCGCATGCCTTTAATCCCAGCACTTGGGAGGCAGAGGCAGGCGGATCTCTGTGAGTTCGAAGCCAGCCTGGTCTACAAGAGCTAGTTCCAGGACAGCCTCCAAAGCCACAGAGAAACCTGTCTCGAAAAACCAAAAAAAAAAAAAAAAAAAAAAAAAAAGAAAAGAAAAACCAAAAAAAAAGAACATCTGCTGGGCTGTCCCCAGCCCTGTGGTGCCTTATGTTCTTGAAGTGCTAGGAGGCCAGTGGGAGTGGGAAGGACGTAGGCAGACAGGGCAATATACACGCACGCGCACACGCGTGCGTGCGTGCGTGTGTGAGAGAGAGACTGGCTTTCCTGTGAGGTGTACAGGGAGAGCTAGAAAAGGCAGAAGAATGAGTTTGCTAAGGGATGAACCCACCCTCTTCCAAGCTGCCTCCAGCGAAGTCATCAGCACTTGCCAAAGCGCACAAGAGGTCTCAGCAGGAGGATGGAGTCCAGGAGTTTACCACAGGGGAGGTGGGGAGTCAGTGGAAGGTCCATAGCATGCTCCCAGTGCCCAGTGCGTGTGTGTGTGTGTGTGTGTGTGTGTGTGTGTGTGTGTGTGTGTATGTGTGTGTGTGGAGCCGGCAGGCACAGGTACCTCTTCCCGAGGTCATGGAAGGTGACTCCATTGTGACCCTGTCTATCCAGCGGTGACAGAGGCCCTGCGGGCACCGGGCAAGATCTCTGGCTGCAGTGGAACCAGGAACCTGCATGACAACCTGTCGGATCTTCGTGCCCAGGTGGCTGCCAACCAGAAGGGCATCCAGCTGGTGGGAGAACTGATCGGGCAGTACGGCTTGGATGTGGTGCAGGCCTATATGGGCTATATTCAGGTAGGCCTGCGGACAGCAGCACACGTGGGGGAGGGTTGTGGTTGCTCCAAGGTAACTGGGCCACCCTGCTGGCGGCATGGCTGGGCTGAACCTTATCCCTGTTAGGCAAACGCTGAACTAGCAGTTCGAGACATGCTTCGGGCATTTGGAACCTCCCGGCAGGCCCGGGGCCTGCCCCTCGAGGTATCTGCAGAGGATCACATGGATGACGGCTCTCCCATCCGCCTGAGTGTTCAGATCAACCTCAGTCAGGTTAGCATGTGAGGGAAGTGGGGAGGGCACTGGCTCTGGGTGTGGTTCTGGGTGTGGCTGGTTGCTGATTGCCACACCTTTCTCCCTCCTGGGTAGGGCAGTGCAGTGTTTGACTTCAGTGGTTCTGGGTCTGAGGTGTTTGGCAATCTCAACGCCCCGCGAGCCATAACGCTGTCTGCTCTCATCTATTGCCTGCGCTGTCTAGTGGGCCGTGACATCCCACTTAACCAGGTTTGTGGGGGTGTGCTGTGAGGTCAGCAGGTGGAGTCTGAGGTCACCCTGCGGTTTGCCTGAAGACAAAGGCAGCCCAATAAAACAGAGCCTAGGGTAGTGGAATTTTTATCTGAGTCTAAGTGGTAGCCAGTACTCATTGATCCCCCTGTTCATTCACTAGGGCTGCCTGGCTCCTGTGCGGGTAGTAATTCCCAAAGGCTCCATCTTGGACCCATCCCCAGAGGCAGCAGTGGTGGGCGGCAACGTGCTCACATCTCAGCGAGTGGTGGACGTCATTCTGGGGGCTTTTGGGGCCTGTGCAGCCTCCCAGGTGTGGTGGAGCAAAGGTCTGGGAGCTGTTGGAGAGCCAGGTGGTGGGATGGATGCCCATAGTGACAAGATACTGTCCCCTGCTTCTGCCAGGGCTGCATGAACAACGTGACCCTGGGCAATGCCCGTATGGGATACTATGAGACAGTAGCTGGTGGTACGGGCGCTGGACCTGGCTGGCATGGGCGCAGTGGCGTACACAGTCACATGACTAACACTCGCATCACGGACCCAGAGATTCTGGAGAGCCGGTGAGCTGAGCTGCAGTTGCAGTGCTAGGCAGTTGACTTGAGAGATGAATCCACGCTCACCTAGCTGTGCCCTTTGCCTGCGCAGGTACCCAGTTATCCTGCGTCGCTTTGAGCTGAGGCCAGGCTCTGGGGGCCGAGGCCGCTTCCGGGGAGGTGATGGTGTAGTCCGAGAGCTGGTCTTTCGGGAAGAGGCGCTGCTGTCCGTGCTCACCGAGCGCCGGGCCTTCCAGCCTTACGGCCTCCACGGTAGGTGGCTCCCCAGCCCTTCCTGGCGTCTTTTGCCCCTACCTCAGTATCCCATCTCCCCACCTCCTGCCCCTGTCTCCCTTGACCCCCAATTCCTTGTTTCCTCCTCCGGTAGGGGGAGAGCCTGGCGCACGAGGCTTAAACCTCCTAATCAGAAAGGATGGGCGAACGGTGAATTTGGGTGGGAAGACATCTGTGACCGTGTACCCCGGGGTAAGAGACGCAGCCTGTGAGGTGAACAGAGATTTGCAAAATTTTAATTTGGTAGTGGCCTCTGTGATCCCGAATGATTGTCCTACTGAGACACGGCCACACCTGTGTTGAACCTGCTCTTCTTCACAGGATGTGTTCTGCCTTCACACCCCTGGCGGTGGGGGCTACGGAGACCCGGAGGACCCAGCGCCACCACCAGGCTCGCCCCCGCTATTTGCAGCCTTCCCAGAGCGTGGCAGTGTGTATGAGTATCGCCGTGCCCAGGAAGCTGTGTGAGCGCCCCCACAATAAAGACCTCTGGAGTCACACGGTCACTGGGATCAGCTCCTCATGGTGTTCCTTCTCACTAGTCATCCATCCGTCTGTGTGCCGGCATCAGGAGCACACAACTTGAAGCTTCAGGCCCACAGCTAAGTGGTCCGTGAGCCCCGCCAGCGCAGTACTGAAAGTCACCTGCTCCACCTCCTGCAGGACAGGAGTCAAGCTGAGAACTGTTTTTAGTTTGAGCAAGCCCAACCCACCCAACACCCCCCCCCCCCCTCCCCCGCTCAGGCTCTTACTGGATGCAGGCGACTATCAGGAATCCCGCGGTAGGTGATGTAGTCCAGGCGCCTGCCCTGCCAGGATTTACCCGAGTGACTTCCACTAGGGGGGTCCCGCCAGGTAGAGGCGGCGCCCTTTCTCCTGCTCCAGGGCCCTGAGAGAGGGACAGAATCACCCAGGTTAGGCCAGTTCCTCCCGGCTGGCCTGCCTAGCAGCGCCCCGTTAAGACTTACCTCCGCAACATCTCTGGGGAGCTGGCAATGCTGTGGTGTAGCATAGAAGTGCTCAGAATCGTCCCTGTGGGGAGAGCAGGGTTCAGTGGCAGCCTTGCTGATATCCCACAGACCTGCTCTGCCCGCCTTCACAGAAAGCAGTACCCAAGGCCCAAGGCTGCTCCTGGCGGGTGCCTAGCCGGCAGGGGTCCTGGAAACAGCTGAAGAATTTGTGCCCCTGCTCCTCTGCGTGATCTGTAGAAGTAAAGTGTTCTTAGCAGGCAGAGCTGCGTCTCTGGGCTCCGCCTAACCCCAGCTTCTCACCTTGTGAGCAGTTGTCAAAGTTTAGGTCTCCCAGGAGGACACTGAAGGCTACGGCCTCATCACTCTGGCGGCTCTCAGCCTCAAACTCCTCCACCCATTCCAGCAGCAGCGTCAGCTGTTTGCAGCGAACATGCCCGTCTTCTAAGAGGAGAGTTGGGGTTGGCTTAGCCCAGAGTGGGGATACGAGACCATATCCTGATCTGTAAACCCACCCAGGCATTACTTGGCATGTCTGGGTTCAGAAAATAAACATCGAGACGTAAGGACAAAAGTGGTGAGGTCAGGGTCCTGCTGCCCTCACAGGAGAGAAGAGGGGCTGCCCACATTCCAAAAACCCCTCCTGTAGAGCTCACCAACGGGTGCCTGCAAGTGTGTGCAATGAAGGTATCCCACGATTCGACGCCCGTCCAGGAAGCCCAGTTGTGCCTGCAACACCACCCATAGTTCCAGCTTTCTTACTTGTTAGATCCACTGCCTACCCGGGTTCTCACTGCAGCCCGTTAATACCTGGGCGGATAGTAGACCTTTGGAGGCCATGGCGTCCTCGCGACGACCGTTGGGAAAGCAACGGAAGGTGGCACGCAGCAGCGGGTAGCGCGATGCCAGCAGAAGCCCACTGCCCAGTACCTTGATGTACGGCCCAGGCATGAAGCCAAATGTGCCTACATCGTATAGCACCGGGCCCAGATTTGGCACCAGGACGCGCACAAGACGACGAGCTGCGCGGAGATCGAACACCTCCTGCAGGCACACGAAGTCCAAACCCGTAGGTATTGTGGCCCTCAGCACACCACCAGGGACCCCAGGCAGCGACTGGCTGCATCCGATAGCCCCATAGTGTGAGGTTTGAAGGCCACCTAGCAGTGCGGTGCCAATGGCCTCCGCGCGCCGCTGGCTGTGCGACAGGTTGCTGAAGCGAGCCAGCCCATCAGGGAGCAGGCATAGATTGGCAGTGAAGAAGACAAAGCAGCGCACGCGCTCAGCAGGCGGGTGCCAGGGCTGTGGCCACACCCAGCAGGCCGGAGGGGGCTGATAGCAGAAGGGGCGGCGCCACACCTGTAGGGGCAGCCAGAGCACAAGGCCAAACAGCGCCAAGGGAAGGCCAGCTACCATCAGCGACAGCAATGCCGCCCCACTTCCTGCCAGGACTTTGAGCCACCCCAAGCTGCTGGATCGTGCCACTGGTGCCCAGCAGCCCAGCAGCTGGTCCAGAGACCAGTAGGCTGGGAAGAGCAGCAAGCGGGATAAGCTGTAGAGGGCTTGTAGCGCAGGGTGCGGGAAGGGTGAGGGCCTCAGGGCGTCGGGTGTCGGGGGCCAGTCGAGTGAGGGTTCGTGGCGCACAGGGCTCCTTCGCCGCGAAACGTCAGGAAGATTCATTCCGGCCAGCGTGAGTTGAATCCTTAAGAGTTCGCACGAGCTGCAGGAGGTCAAGACCAGGTGGCACAACCTGTGCGTGCAGCTAGTAAGGACCTGTGTGCCCCGGGAGCCTGAGTTCTGGGCATTGGCCCCACCCACTCAGAACTTCTGACGGTTGGGAAGAAAAAAAAAAAAAACACCCAGGTGTCACAGTCCCGCCCACCCGGCCGCCGTATCCTTGCGCCTGGCGGGTCCACTTAGGGCTTCGAGAAAAAGTTAGTGCCTGTCTTCCGCCTAGCCTTCCCCTCCCCTTTCAGTCTGGCTACACCGCAGGCAGGTGCTTGTGCCTAGCGCCTGAGTGCAAAGATTCAACACCAATAGCCTGCAACACCAATAGTGTCTGTGACTTAGGAGCTTCCAGTCGGGGGAGGGACCGTTAGTTCCACAATTTAAGGACACATGAGCCAGGTAAAAGGAGGTTCCTCATTCTATGAGCACTCTAACAGACTTTAGTTTTGTTTGTTTGTTTTGTTTTGTTTTGTTTTGTTTTTTCGAGACTGGGTTTCTCTGTGTAGCCCTGGCTGTCCTGGAACTCACTCTGTAGACCAGGCTGGCCTGGAACTCAGAGATCCACCTGTGCCTCCTGAGTGCTGGGATCAAAAGCTCGTGCCACCACTGCCCAGCTCTTACATTGTCCCTTGGCTTTCACAGACTTTTCTCTGTCTTACTTGGAAGTCTGCCTCCCTAATTCCAGCTGTGAGCCAGCATTCACCCTGATGTCAACCATAAGTGTCTCTTAAGTTATCTATCAGATTTGTCTTGGCTACCTGTCTTTACCCAGGTTTCCAGGATAGTTGTGGGGACACTTTGATGAGGCAACTTTTAATGAGCTGTCTGACTGGGTTCCCAAAGTCTCTCCAATGGGAGTGGTCAGGGTAGAAGGTGGCAAGCTCTAAGGGGCCTGGGTATCGAGCTATAGGCTTCCAGCAACCCCACACCACTCTGTTCCTGGAATTTTTATTGGTACTGAGAAGATTCCTGTTTGAATCCACACCCCAAGGCTCTCCTGTTCATTGACTGGTAAGGACTAGTTATCTAAGATCTTGGTTCTTTATTCTTGTTTGTTTTTATTTTTTGAGGCAGGGTTTCTCTGTGTAGCATTGGCTGTTCTGGAACTCTCTTTGTAGACCAGTCTGGTCTCAAAGTCACAGAGATCGCCTGCCTCTGCCTCCCAAGTGCTGGGGCCAAAGGCGGCCATCACCACTGCCCAGCTTCCTTTCCTTGTTGTCACAGCCCTGGTACCTGTACCTTCAGGCAGGGCAGAGGCTGTTCTAGGCTTTTTCCCACTGCCCTTCTTATGAACCAACCCATTCTCGGTCTACACTCTTCCAGCAATACCACACACATGGCCTTTCCAACCTCAGGCTACACGTTGATTCCAATACTCCATGAGCCCATTCATCCTTTCCCCCCTTCTCCAACACACGTTCTCTGTTCCCCGGCCAGAGCCCCCATGGCTAGATAGGGCCTGTCATTTTCCCAGACCTTGGATGTCTTTGTAAGGGGCTGCCATCTCCCTGGCTCCCCTGCCCTGGTTTGGATGAGGTGGTGGCATGGGCCGAGTAACTTGTGTCTCGGGAAACTTTAATGGCCATGCATGACGGCCTGCAGGGCGAAGTGAGCCTGGGCCAGCCGGGCACCAACGTTACCAGATGAACATGGGTTTGCCATCGTCGTGGGACAGCTGGTTAAGGCAGGAGAGCAGCAGGAGGGCGTCGGTGAGCATGCTGGGGTGCACAGTTTCCACCAGCACACGCTGCAGGAAGTCCACAGTGTAGGAGCCACCTTCAGACGCTGCCAGCTCAGGCCGCTCTCGCAAGATGCCATAGGCATTCACCAGCTGTTCTGTCAGAGCTGGGTGCACCCGTCCATTGTAGCCCAGGCTCTGCAGTCTGTTCATGATGCTCACGTAGCGCTGGGTGAGTGTCTGGCATAGGTCCTCATCCAGCTTGTGGTTACTGGGGTTTAGAGAGGCCTGTTGGGAAAGTGGCCATCAGGAACCTCCCCGGCCCCCACACACACCACTGGATCACAGGCAGACTGGAAGAACAAGGGCAAGAGAGGCCGAGGGAAGGAAATGGTTAACTATGGCTAAGACAGCGCAAAGGGAGGAGCAGCCGGGGCACCCAGATGGTCCAGAGGGCTGAGCCTGAGGTGGAGGTAACCAAGACCCAACTCAGGCAGGCCCGGTAGCGCCCCAAAGCCTGCAGAGACACCCGTCCCACTGTTTGTTCCGTGCCAGGCGTGAGACGAAGGTAAAGCTACCAGGGACGGAGGGCAGGGAGGTAGGACCTCCAGAGGGGGCCTGACTCCAGAGCTTGTAGGCTTTTCCAAGAGTTAATGGAAAGCTCCTAACCTGGAATTACAGACACTGTCCTAAAACAGGACAGGAAGGTCTTCCTGGATGCCACCTTCCCTGACACCCCCTGTAGCCAAAGGACCGACGTTTCTACCAAGGCAGAGGACGCAGACGGGCAGGTGAGAGAGACACTTAAACACAGAAGGCAGGCGGGTCTCCAGGGAGTACCGTGAACATGTCACTGGCTCTTCAGGGACAGCTGCATTCAGCTGGGGACACCTGGCTCGGTATCTATATGCTGTGTTGGGACTGGTGCCCATGGTGTGTCCACTAGGAAAGCCCCTTGATGTGTTAACATTTTTCTTTCTGTGCAGTACAGCAGATAAATTCCGTGTCCTTCCTGGAGCTGAGGACCTTAATATTATAATGAATCCGTATCTGTTTGGATCAGTTGTTGTTTGCAACCAAGCGCACTGGATGATTTGTCTAAGAAAGAGAATGCTTTGGGTAGGTGGGAGTACAATGAAGAGACTAGCGTTCTTGTCAGACAGATAAAGGGAAGGTTGCCGTGCCATCTACTGCTTTATATAATTTGCAAAAAGATGTGACCGATGTCATTTGTGATGAGGAAAGAATTAAGATATGGTAGAATACTGGTCTTCACATGACACCCTGGGTTTGACCCCAAGCACACACACACACACACACACACACACACACACACACACACACACACACACACGCACGCACGCACGCACACACACACACACCAATACAAATAATAAAACATAGAAAAAAGACACAGTGGTACTGGACACAGTGATGTGTGCCTGTAGTCTATGTAATTGGGAGGGGGAGGCAGAAGGAGGACTGTAAATGTTAGGCCAACCTGGGCTGCATAGTAAGTTCTAGGCCAGCCAGGGACACACAGAAAAACAAACAAAAAGCCCCCCAAACTAGCAACAACGAAACTGTCCCAAACCAAAAGATAGTGTAACTGCATGATCTAATAAAAATAAGCAGCCAGATTCAGGGGAAAGTCAGGGTTCAACTCACTGAACCTGGACAGCGTGGAAAGCAGCAGATGGCTTGTCGGGACAGTCACAGGTCTGACTAGTTTTCGCAGGTCTGGGTGGACTTTAGGGGTTCTAACTCCTGACATTGGGGTATAGAAACAGATACATGGGAAACGGGAAATAAAGGTTGTGCAGAGTGGAATCAGATGCAGGTATGACTCAACCAAAGGCCAACCAGATGGGTGAGAGCCCTTGAAGCCAGGAGGTAAATTCGTGATTTCCAAATGTGACCAAATGTCCTGGAGAGGGCTCCACGGAGAGACTTGGCTGTGATACTTAAGGCCAGCCTAGCCCCAGGAGGCCACTTTGTCTGCAGGTGGCTTTCAACTGAGTCGTTCCCAGGAAGAAGGAGAGAGTCTGGGTCACCGCTGCTGGAAGTAAGGTGAGACCTCGAGTCTGAGAGAGATGGTGGAGGCCCCTGGCAGGGGGACAAGCATGTTGTGACGAGCAGCCCAGCATCTCAGAAGACCAGACACGGTGGAACACAACTCTAATTCCAGGACTTGGAGGCGGAAGCAGGAGTCTCAGAAATTTAAGGTCATCCTTGGCTATAAAGCGAATTCAAGGCCAGCCTGGGCTACACATGAGACCATGTTTCCAAAAGTAAAATAAAATAAAATGTGTAATCTAGAAATTATCTGTTTAATTCACCCATAAACTAATTTCCTGGAACTTGATGGGCAGATCCTAGAGCAGAAAAGGAAAGAGCTAAGACAATAGAAGAGATGAAGGAGGGGTCTGGCTCGCGTGCTGGGGTAAAGCCCAGGGCTTTAATCCACGAAGGACCACTGGACAAGCACTCTCCACCCGAGCTATGGCCCATGCCCCCACAATGTCAGCTGCCCCTTAGCAGCTCGTGGTCTCTGTTGCTGTCACTGGGCCCTCTTTTTTTTTTTTTTTTGGTTTTTCGAGACAGGGTTTCTCTGTGGCTTTGGAGGCTGTCCTGGAACTCGCTCAGTAGTCCAGGCTGGTCTCGAACTCACAGAGATCCGCCTGCCTCTGCCTCCCGAGTGCTGGGATTAAAGGCGTGCGCCACCAACGCCCGGCTCACTGGGCCCTCTTTGGTTGTGTTTCTGGCTGATGGCTGTCTACTAGCATCCAGGAACACTGACGTCCTGTCATAGAACAAATGGACAGGGAGGCTGGGACCAGGCCTACCAGAGAGTCCTGGTAGATGCAGGTCTGGGAGGGACACTGCGGGCACTGGGAACCCCTCCTTGCCCTGGCAGCCCTGAGCTTTAAGAGTCTACGCTGACTGCCCCATTAGCGAACATCCGTGAGGTGCATCTCCATAGACAGCTGTGCCCCTCAAAAACGGCGTGTAGTTTCTGCTACCATCATGTCGACACAGCCCTCTGCTTCCTCCTCATTTTTCTCTCATCCTTCTAGCCCTGGAGTCATCCTAACGCAATGGGCATACTGTGTCTTGGTGGTCTTTGGAGAGTTAGTCAGGGGTTTTCACGCTTGGGAGAGGATGTCCCCTACCTTCTACTTCTACCATGATCACTTATGGAAGAACCAGAGATTTAAAAAAAGGCACACACACACACACACACACCCAACCAACCAAACTTAAGGGCTGGAGAGATGGCTTGGCAGTTAAGAGCACTGAGTGCTCTTCCAGAGGACGAGAGTCTTAGCACCCACACCAGTCACCCCTGCCCCATACAAGCATACACATAACAAAAGAAAAACCAATCTAAGATTTTTAAAAACTCAAACTTTAAACCCTCGGGAGAAAATACTAACTATGGAATACAAAATATTGCCTGGATTTTCTGCTAGGGAAATATTTTTTTCTTTTTCTTTTTTTTATTTCTGAGACAGGGTTTCTCTGGGTAGTCCTGGCTGTCCTGGAACTACTTCTGTAGACCTGGCTGGCCTCAAACTCAGAGATCCATCTGCCTCTGCCTCCTGAGTGCTGAGGTTAAAGCCATGTGCCACCACTGCCTTGCTAGGGAAATATTTCTTTTCTTTTTTTTCTGAGGCAGGATTTCTCTGTAGCTTTGGAGGCTGTCCTGGAACTAGCCCTTGTAGACCAGGCTGGTCTCGAACTCATAGAGATCCATCTGCCTCTACCTCCCGAGTGCTGGAATTAAAGGTGTGCTGCACCACCACCAGGCTGGGAAATACTTCTTAATTGAGACAACATGAGCAAAGACTGACTGTTCTGAATTAAAATAAGCATCTAGCTGGGCAGAGGCAGAGGCAGAGGCAGAGGCAGAGGCAGAGGCAGAGGCAGAGGCAGAGGCAGAGGCAGAGGCAGAGGCAGAGGCAGAGAGGCAGAGGCAGAGAGGCAGAGAGGCAGAGGCAGAGAGGCAGAGAGGCAGAGAGGCAGAGAGGCAGAGAGGCAGAGAGGCAGAGAGGCAGAGAGGCAGAGGCAGAGGCAGAGGCAGAGGCAGAGGCAGAGGCAGCCTGGTCTACAGAGCTACACAGTAATTTCCAGTCCATTCAGGGTTACACAGTGAGACCCTGTTTCAAAAAGCCAAGAACCAAACAAACCAAAAACAAAGCATCTACATCAAAGGAAACTTTAGTAAAGGAAAAGGCACACTGAGAATCAGCCTTGCAATCAAAAGTCATCCCTGGCCGGACGGCGGTGCGTACACTTGGTGCGGTGGCAAGGGAGCTACCAACACAAGGAAGCCATTCCCCAAGAGAAGCGCAAACAGCCTATGCAGGGACAGGAACATGCCATTGCTGTCTCTCTCGGCACAGGTCTGAACAGACTTCTCCTGGGTGTCCAGCCCAGTGCAGACTCAGTCCCCAGTCCTTGCCCCTTGCCAATGACATCTGCACCTGTAGGTTGTAGGGGTGCGGTGACACACTCCAGCTTTTTTTTTTTTTTTTTTTTTGGTTTTTCGAGACAGGGTTTCTCTGTGGTTTTGGAGGCTGTCCTGGAACTCGCTCTGTAGACCAGGCTGGTCTCGAACTCACAAAGATCCACCTGCCTCTGCCTCCCGAGTGCTGGGATTAAAGGCGTGCGCCACCAACGCCCGGCACACTCCAGCTTTTTGTTTCTTATTGTCTTGTTTTTTTTTTTAAACATCTAACTCCCTTTTGTCAATGGGTGGAGGCTTTGCGGCCATATCCGAGGACACATTAGCGTAAGCATCAGGCCTTCTGGCAACAAAGCTTCCACCTACTCAGTGGGCTCTAGGGTAGTGTTCCCCGTGGCCCCCAGTGGTCCCCAGTGAGCTTTGGGGATGCTGAAGGGGAAGGCCATAGAATTCTTTGGGTTGCTGGCTCAACCCCTAGGGTTAGAGCTGCCCATTCCAAGGCCATTTTGGAGGCAGGAGAGGGATGCCCCTTGTCCCTGTCCTTTGCTCATGGGATCCCATGACCAGGTTCTCTGGACCCTTGTCAGCTGCTTGCACCGAACCCCGAGCTCCCTCCATTTCAGAGCCCCCTTAGACGCCCTGCCCCTCAGCTCGCTGCCGCATCCCTGAAGGCCCCTCTGACAATGTGTAGGAGACGGACAGCCACACACCTGGATGATCTTCTCTGGAATGTTGGAGACAGTGAAGCCATAGAGGCGCACACGCTCCGGGAAGATGCTGGACAGGATTCTTCTGTCTAACTGGAAGGCGATCTCCCCCACTAGCCTCTCCCAGGCCAGTTGCTTTGAGTCTGCGGATGACAGAAGGTCTCCGCTGAGCAATAAGCGAAGGGACTAGCAGGGCCGCGGTTAGCAGTCCAGGTGTGTGACAGGGGAGCTGGCACCAGACTCGTGTTGAGCCTCTGTGGTGTTACTGACCTCGGGGACTGTCAGTGAACTTGTTAGACTTGCGGTGGGCCATCTTCCGCTCCACCTCGAGGACACTCTTCCGAGACTGTTCCATGGTGCGTGAACCCCGGGTGTCATTGACTGAAGCCGGGGAGGATGAGGTGCGGGGCGGGGAGTGGGGGTTGCGTGGAGGAGAATGTGGGTTGGGCACGGGCCGGGTAGGGGATTGGTGCACCCTGGTGGTGGAGTTGGAGTGGGAGTTTTTTGAAGGGGAATAGTTTCCAGCACTTTGGGGGACAGGTGTCGGGGCGGGGTTGGGGGCTGTGCTAGCAAGAGAGCCTGTCGGGGAGTTTGGGACAGAAGTAAGGGCCATTTGTCCCTGGAGGACACCAGTCTGGGTCCGAGTATCTGAGGTGGCATAAAAATTTGTCGTGGGACCGGATGTGACCGTGGTGCTCATGGGAGTGGAGGTCTGAAGGGGTGGACCCACAAACATCATGTTGAGGGGCTCTGAGTCCTGCGTCGTTTGGGGGTGCTCACCGGTGACTGGTGACGTGAAGGAGAGGAGGGGTCAGAGGGAGGCAGGACGGGAGCAGGAATGGGCCTACCCAGGATGCCCCACTGCCCCGCTGCCCCACCCTGTACCAATTACCTCTTGAGGTGGCGATTGGCCCTGCACCTGCTGAGGCTCCCGTGAGGTTTCCTCGGGGTGGCTCTGCCAGCCGCACCCTTGGGGCCTCTGCCAGCCCTAGGTTGTTTATAGCATTGGGCAGTATGTTCTGAGAAACACCTAGAGGGGTAGCCGTGGAGGAGAGCAAGGGGCTGCTCAGGGAGACTGCCACCGGGCCAGCCAGGGGAGCCATGAGGGGGCTGCTCTGAGAGACAGCCACCGGGCCTGCCAGCCGGCTGTTTGTCGTCAGGGAGCCAGTCGAGGTCAGGCCCAGTGAGCTGGCCAGAGTGGTCCCAGGGGGTACAGCTACGGGACTGGCCAGGTGGCTGCTCAGGGGTCCAGCCGTGGGTAAGCCCAAAGAGTTGGCCAAGGTGGCCCCTGGGGAAACTGCGAGGGGACTGGCCAGGTGGCTGCTCAGGGGGCAGGGCACAAGACTGGCAAACTGACTGCTCTGCGGCAAGGGCATTTGGCCGGACAGCAGCGGGTTGAGGGGGGCCACCAGGGAGTTCATGAGGGTGCCTCCTGCAGGACTGAGCTGCGAGCTATTCAGCATGTCAGCCAAAGGGGCCAGGGCCACCATCCCCATGTCTTCCATGCCTGGCTCCTTTGCTACCGCTGCGGCTGCTGGGGATGGGGGCAGGAACACACCTGTGGATACAGAGAGAGCAGGTGAGTCCCTCCGGAAGCAAGTGGGAGGCACTCGTGGGGATGCCTGTCTGGGATGCTGAGCTGGCGGGTTTGACCGCCATCTTGTAGCCTCGTTCCTTAGGTAGGCTGGATGATAATGCCCTGGCCTGAGGGCACCTGTGGGCTGCCAGAGGGCTTCCCGCGCCACCCTAAGAGAGTCTTGGATGTGGGTCTGCCCTCTTTGTGTCAGAACTCCTAGACTCTTACCAGACCACTGGCCCTTCAAGCCGCAGGGCATTCCAACCTGCCCTCCACCTGTGTCCACCAAAATGAGCTGCCAAGCCCACACACAGAGGAGAGCAGCAAACAGTGGTTGGCCTCCCAGGCAGCTAACTTGGCCCTCTGCTTTTGACCGGGAGGAGTGAGTCTGGCCTCCCACTTGGTAGTGCTAATTAGATAAGAGTCTCATGTGACCTAGGGCGGCACATCGTGGACATGAGCTGGGATGGGTTTCTTGATGGCCACAGTCATGACTCAGAGGCCCAGAATCACTGCTGGCTATTCTTGGACTCCTGGAGAGGGTGGGGCTGAGACCTTATTCTCCTTGACTTCTGGAGCTGACTTTCCTTAATGACTGCTTTTGGGAGAGAAATCCCTTTAGAGACATAGTTGCTGCATGGGACAGAGTGCAGAGGAATCTTTGCAACTATGCAATGTAATTAAAAAACAAAAACAAAAACAAAAAACACAGCCAGTGGTAGTGGCACACACCTTTAATCCCAGCATCCGGGAGGCAGAGGTGGATCTCTGTTAGTTCGAGGCCAGCCTGGTCTTCAAAGAGAGTTCCAGGACAGTCTCCAAAACAATACAGAGAAACCCTGTCTGGAAAAACTTGAAGGGCTGTCAAGTGGCGGCAGAGGTGGGTGTGAAGAGTGTATGGGAAAAGGGCAGGAATTGAGGAACCGTGGCCCCCCAGAGCCTGAGTACCCTCTGTCTGTTTCTGCTATACCATGTCACATGGTGAGTGATCACATGGTGAGATTCCTATGAGGTCTGGCCTCTCCTTAAAGGATATTTAAAAGGCCCTGTGGCAGTTTGAATGAGAACGGCCCCCACAGGCTTTTATGTTTGAACATTTGGTTGCTACATGGTGGAAGTTTTGGGATGCATTAAGTGTGGCCTTGTTGGAGGAGGTGTGTCACTGGGATGGGCTTTCAGGTTTCAAAGAACTTCCATGAACACTCCTGGTGAGCTCTCTGCCTCCTGCTTGCTGTTTGAGATGTAAGCTCTCAGCTGCTCCCGAATCCATGCCTTTGCTCCAACACCATGGACTCATGGACTCTAACCCTTTGAATCTGTCAGCCCAATTAAACCATTTCTTTTCTCTTTCTTTCTTTTTTTTTTTTTTTTTGAGACAGAGTTTCTCTGTATTGTTTTGGAGGCTGTCCTGGAACTCACTCGGTAGACCAGGCTGGTCTCGAACTCACAGTGATCTGCCTATCTCTGCCTCCCGAGTGCTGGGATTAAAGGCGTGCACCACCAACGCCCAGCTTCTTTTTTTCTTCCTTCCTTTTTCTTTTCTTTTCTTTTTTTTTTTGTGAGTGTGGGACACACGATCTCACTATATAGCTCTGGCTGTCCTGCAACTTACTATGTAGATCAGGCTGGCCTTGAACTCATGGAGATCTGGCTACATCTGCCTCCTGAGTTCTGGGTTTAGGGCTGTTTAATAATTGCTTTCTATGTAGGCTTCCTAGCAGAACAGCTGGCAGGGGAAGCAACAGAAGGTACCAAACATCTATTCAAATGAGGATGAAAAGGATGCAACGGACTGCAAAAATATAATATAATAAAATAGTGAATAAACCTGGACTTTGATGAAATAAGTGAATTAACAATACATATTATCTTCAGTTTTGTGTGTGTATTCTCATTTTCTTTTTAAAATTTGTATGTATGTGCATTGGTGTTTTGCGTGCATGTATATCTGTATGAGGGTGTCAGCTGCCCTGGAACTGGAATTGCAGACAGGTGTTCACTACTTTCAATATGCAAATTTGACTTTTCTTGCCCCACCCCCATAATTATGACATGAATAAAACAGCTTAAGAATTTATCTCTCGATAGCCGGTGGTGACACACACCTTTAATCCCAGCACTCGGGAGGCAGAAGCAGGCGGATCTCTGTGAGTTTAAGGTCACTTTAGTCTACAGAGCGAGTTCTAGGACAGCCAGGGCTACACAGAGAAACCCTGACTTGAAAAAAACGAAAAGAACAAAACAAAACAAACAAAAATAAAAACCAAACCAAAAAAACCCCAGCAACCAAGAAACCGTTTCTTTGCAGACTGCCAAGACAGTTAGCTAGTGAAGGCGACTGCAGCCGAGCTGCCACCTCATGCAACTCACTCTCTGGCCTTCACAGGTGTGCCGTGGTGTGGACGCCTCCCCTTAGCAAGCACAAACGAAAAGCAAAGAGAAAGGACTGTAGCTAATAAACAGTAGTGGAGACTAAAATCATATTTAAAAAGTAGTTTGTCATTTCACATTAAAACAAGAAAGACCAACAAAAGGCAATCAGTACCCTTTGAGAACCTAATGTCGGCGCTCCCATCTGCGTCCCGAGAAATGAAATCTCAAAGCTGGAGAGACGGTTCAGTGGATAGGAGCACTTGCTGCTCTTGCAACTTCAAGCACCCACATGGCGGCTCACAGCCATCTGGGGGACCCGAGGCCCTCTCCTGACTGCCAAAGGCACCAGGCATGCTATGGTAAACATACATACATACATGCATGCAGGCAAGACATTCATACATGTGAGTAAATAAATAAATGCAATGTAGAAACAGTCTCTAGAGGACTCTAGAGCAAAAAAGGACACAAAGGGGGAGATCGCTGTGAGCTGTTTATTTCAAAATGCCCACTAGAGAAATCTGTTTTTAGGGCCAACAAGATAGCTCAAAAGGTGAAGTGCTTGCAGCCAAGCATGACCTCAGTTCAATTCCTGGAGCCCACATGGTGTGAGGATAGAATGGGCTCTTACAGTTTGTCCCCTGACCTCCACATGTAAGCCATTCCAAATAAATAATTGTAATAAAAAAAGAGAGAAATCTGGTTTTTAAAAAAGGTACAATGTTCTGTAGGCGTGTCTGCCTACAGGCCAGAAGAGGGCACCAGATCTCATTACAGATGACTGTGAGCCACCATGTGGTTGCTGGGAACTGAACTCAGGACCTCTGCAAGATTAGTCAGTGCTCTTAACCACTGAACCATCTCTCCAGCCCAAGAAATCTGTTCTCAAATGCGTCTTATATATGGGGCCAGGGGTATAATTTGCCTCTTATGCTTGAGACCCTGGATTCAATGTCCAGTGCTCGCCTCACCAATACCCGTAGCAACATTGTTTATAGAAGCTTAAGAGAGAAGATAACTCAAACCCAAAGGTCTGCAAAGTGGTGAATAAACAAAAACTATCAGTCACAAGCCCCATAACATGGACAATCCTTGAAAGGACCAGTTACCACGATGGTCATACAGTGTCTAGAGTAGCTGAAGTCATCACACAGACGTGGATCCCCAAGTGCCCAGGAAGGCCATGGAAGCCAGTGCGCCCCACTAAAGGATTAAAGCTGCTTTTTTGTTGTTTTGCTTTTTTGAAACAGGGTTTCTCCGTGTAACAGCCTAGCTGTCCTGGAACTCACTTTGTAGATCAGGCTGACCTCAAACTCACAGAGATCCCCCTGCCTCTGCCTCCCGAGTGCTGGGACTAAAGGCGTGCGCCACCACTGCCGGGCATGAATTACATGTTTATGAAGTTATTATAGAAAAGGCTGCATCTGGGTCACGGGCATTTCTGTCTCAGACAAGTAAGTGTCCCCGGGAAGCTCCACGGGCTCAGCAGGCACAGAACCTGCCCACACTGGCACAGAAGTAACATCTGCAGGGTTGGGCATTAACCAGGATCACCAAAGAGACCGCAGCAGCCTTGAGATAGAGAAGCCTGAATTTGGGGAACTGTGTGTGAGGTGAGTTTTCCCACCTAACACCCCCTTTGAGACATTTCAGGCCTCCCCTTTGCTTCTAAGGAAAGATGTATAAGCCATTGACGCCTGAGACTCTTAGAGTTTGCATCTGTTGATTGGGATATGTGAACTTAAAAGCTGGCTACGTTCTGGTACCATACTAGAATCTTATAAAAATCAGAAAGCTCAGATTCGCTGAGTGTGTGGTTACTTTAATCATCTAGAATTAGAAAAAAAATACGTTTGTTAATCAGCCAATGGGGGTAAAAAGGAAAACAGTGTCTTAGGACGTATGACTACAGCTTGCCATGCCTAACCCTAGCTCTCCCCCGTGTCTGTCTTTTCCCAGCCCTGCCCTCCATCTCCGGACGCACGGACACCCATCACCCCACCCCGCCCTTCTGTGGCTCTCTCCACCCAGACAGGCTGCAGCAGGGCTAGGGCTGGGAGCGCAGCCATGGGGTCACAGCACTGGGGGGATAGGATGAAGAGTGTGGGGCAACCACATTAGGGGTGCAGGCCGAGTCTGACGGAAGGGAGGATTGAGAAGGAAAGGAGCCACCCTAGCTAAGATGTTCAAATGCGGTTTCTAGAGAGGTGGAGGGATGGAGAAAGGGCGGGAAAAACCAAGGAGCGCAGCTGAAAGGAAAGTATTCAGGGGAGAGATAATCAAGGGAAGGAGGATCCTATCTGGAGGAGAACTGAGGGCAGGAGGGGAGAGACCTGAGGGGAGGGGAGAGACCTGAGGGGAGGGGAGACACCTGAGGGCAGGAGGGGAGAGACCTGAGGGGAGGGGAGAGACCTGAGGGGAGGGGAGAGACCTGAGGGGAGGGGAGACACCTGAGGGGAGGGGAGAGACCTGAGGGGAGGAGACCTGAGGGGAGGGGAGACACCTGAGGGGAGGGGGGACCTGAGGGGAGGAGACCTGAGGGGAGGGGAGACACCTGAGGGGAGGGGAGAGACCTGAGGGGAGGGGAGACACCTGAGGGGAGGGGAGAG